TGTTCAGCATCTTAGCTGTGGAGGGCAGTGTCACTGGACCTCATATGTGGGATCCGAACCGGGGCCCTCTGGCGTCCCAAGCCAGCTCTTAACCAATGCGCCACTCGGCCAGCCCTGAAGTAAATTTTAAAATTGGTTCCTAAAAAAAATTTAAAGTAACATGAAATGAGTCAACTTGAGTGTGGTTCAAATTGGAGATAAAGCCTTACAGTATGCAACAATTTTAAGCGACTTTTAAAGCCCTGTATTTTTACTATACCTTCCAAAAGGGGTATATTTTAAGCACAAAGATGAGTACAAAAATTTTTAACTACTTTTAGTACTCATATTGCAGGTAGTTGTATTGCTGTTACTCTGATACTGTTCGGCTTCTCTCATGAGATAAATGACTGTTGGTATCTTTGAAAATTGATATTATCAGCTTCATGGAATGGAGATACAAATGCACAAAGTAGTAGTAGTCCTGAATTTGAGTTGGAAGTATCAGTAAGAACTCATGGTGTGCATTACTTTTAAATCTAAAGGAATACATATTCACAGCTCTACCAAAGAGGCCTAGAAACAATGACCAACCCAGTAGCAATAACACTCCTGGTGTCCAGGCTGTGCTCTGTAAATAGCAGATCCACTAAAAGAAACCAAAGATCCTGGAAGAAATTGCTGATTCTAGATCTGGAGCAGAAAATGGACAAAAGGAGCTTGGAATATTTTGTCATAATAGAAAACAAGGATAATTATAATTAAGTCAGACAGAAAAAGTAAAAAACTGTATGATTTCACTGATATGTGGGATATAAAACTGAAAACAACAAAGAAACATGACCAACAAATGAAGAAACAAAAACTTATAGACACAGACAGTAGTTTAGTGGTTTCCAGAGGGTAAGGGGTGCAGGGGTGGTAGATGAGGGTGAAAGAGATCAAATATATGGTGATGGAAGGAGAACTGACTCTGGGTGGTGAACACACAATATGATATATAGGTGATGTATTACAGAATTGTGCACCCAAAACCTATGTAACTTTACTAACAATTGTCAGCCCATTAATTTTAATTAATTTTTAAAAAGTGCAAAGAAAGGGCCGGCCGAGTGGCGCGATGGTTAAGAACTGGCTTGGGATGCCAGAGGGCCCCGGTTCGGATCCCACATATGAGGGCCAGTGA